GGCAGTAATTAATTCCATTATGACAGAACTTTTTTATTTAACTTACTTAGTAGCTAAACTAGTTTATAGATCATTGGATATACAATTAAAAGTAACTGGTTTTCTTATAACGCAAAGATTAGTAAATAAATTTGGTATAATAAGGGATACAACAGAACTGGTGCTACAAAACAATATCGAAAATGGAAAAGGCCAGTGTCTGTATTGAATGTGTTTTACTATGTATTGGTCTTAAAGTATTTCCTATCCAAAATGAACTGGTTAAAAGTAATATCCTTACCAATCTGAATTTACGACAAATAAACCGAGAGAGCCGCATCATAAACTAAAATAACACTGAACACTCGCTCAGACCACGAAAAAGCCAGGCTTATTTACTATATATTGATAAATCTGTTGTTATACTCTTCGTCACCACAAAGCCCGATACTTATCCGTATATGTGTGTTTGTGTACATATTTTTACAGTCCACACAACAACAGAACCAGCAGCAAGCACTTATGAACAAGTCAAATGACGACCTACGGAGAAAGCGTCCCGAGACTACACGGCCAAATCACATTCTACTCTTCACCATCATAAATCCCTTCTATCCCATCACAGTTGTAAGTACACACAGCAATATATATCTATATTTTACTCTTTCTCTCTCTGCAGCCTCTCCTCTCCATACATACATTATATTATACGACGATATTATTCTTATATATCCTCTAGCTACTTAGTATTGCAAAGGGAGATCTCTCTACCGTGTCCTCCCATTTTTTTTTTTTTTGGCAAGAAATCGTAGAAAATAAAATAAAATCCATTGCAATTTGTTTGGTAGCTGTTGGAAAACTTGTCACACACTCGAGCGGAGTTTTCAGGCATGTGTGCTGGGGATAAGAAAACAGTTATTTGCCACACTGTCGCCTCTGGACCCCGAATGTTGTTGTAGCTTAGGCTGCAGACGAGTGTTGATTGCATCTGGCTTTGTGGTATGCCCGGTCTTATAACAGCATTTGATACATTTTAGCTACAAAATGGCCAGAAAGTGAGTGTCCTTAACCGGGGCAGGCACCAACAACAAGTGTGGATAGCAGATGGGCCGGGATTTAGATGAGTGTTTAGTCCAAGTGCATTGTTAGGCGAGCAACAACCTGCAACGTCAACAGAAACAATTATAAGAGGAGAGAAAAACAACACAATGCTAGGACAAAAATTTAAAAAAAAACAAAGTACTCAAGTGTACTGAGGCTGAATAACGTGCAAAGCACCCTCACATCCAAAAAACAAACGCATGGACTAGATACAATGACTTAAACGGGGACTCGAGATTTTCTTACTCTACTTAAGTTTGGAAGGTTAATCGTTAACTTTTTATTTGTAAGGAATATAGTTTTGAAAAAAAATTATGATTTTTATCCAGGTTGGTTTTAATAAACGTAATAGAACCCAAATAGAACCTTTAAAATATATTTATAACGACCAATAAAATTAGTTTAACATTGAAGAGACTTTAATTTCAAACTTGATATCGCAATGTTCAACTAACGATAATATTATATTAATAAATATAAATAATTATAGATAATATTTATTATATAGTCTTTAGTTCAACTTTATTTTATAATGGTATAACCATACAGATAGTGAGATGTATATTTTTAGGGCAGCTAATACTATTTGACATACAATTGGGAAATGAAAAATCCAGATTGGGGAAAAATGTTTAGGTGCGAACTCCTTATAACAATTTATAAAAGTTTCAAATAGTAATATAGTAGGCTTCACTGGCACTAAGCTGAAAAAAAGGATTATATTTTTTGTTAAAGATAGTCGTTTTTACTGAGAGAAAGCAAGTTGTAGAAAGCAAAGTTACTCCATTTGAAAGTGGATCAAGAGGCTTTTTGCTTAGGCCCGTTTCCCAACCCCATGTCGTCCCATATCCTAGTTATATAGGGTAGTCATTTCTGCATCCACATGAAAGTTAGACACGCACACTGCTACGGGTTATTGTCTTCTTAGCAAAGGCAAAAACATTTGGCGGTGCAGCAGAACAACAAAGGCAAAGAAAACAAAAAATGCGGAAATGTTCTCCCTGTCTCTCTCTCTGGTTCGCTCTACTCCTTTCTCCCTCACTCCAGCAGTGTGGGAAAAGTGTGTGTGTTGTGCCCAGGCAATTGTATTTTCCAACACTTGAGCCAAGTGCGAGCGAAGTGGAACATAAAATCCTGTGAAGTGGAAAACATGCAGTATAAAAACTACAAAACTGGAAATTATTTGGGGCCAGTAGTTGCATTGCTGGGAGTGCGTGTGTGTGTTTGGATAAAGCCAGAAAGCCCAGACATGTTAATTCGCATCCGACAAAATGGCTGCCTGGTGCAGCAGGATTTTCCGTTCGTCCGTCCATCCGACTGAATGACTTTTCCCCAGGTCCCATTGTCGTAAAGTCCGACTGACTGGATTTATACGTTCGCATTCGCAACCAGCCTCTCGCAGCTTTTCCAACGGAAATAAATCTTTCTGTTGACTTAAGTCATCGCCATGGAGAGAAGAGCCTGTTTGTTCTGGAATTAAGCAATTCCCTTTATAATTCTCCGTTCTTCTTGCGCGTTATGCGACGCAAATTAAAAGCTTCTGGCAGTTCAGAAAATATCTGTTACATCCGGTGCCTTATTGATCTGCATTCCGTTGTTAATAAAGCTGCAAATCGGATTAAATGCATTTCCTGTGTCATAAGAAGTATGATTCAGGGATATCGGAAGCCAGGGTTCATTTCACGTGCAAATATTAATTGATCTATTTAACAAATTGGTCAGAAGCTCATGGTAGAGATGAATATGAAATATTATTTTCCGTTGCACTTTAATCTCCTTAAAACTATTAAGCACTCTTCGGAATTATTTAAATTTCAATTTATATGTGCCTCTGCCAAATGCATTTAACCCCTCCACCACTCTGCACACTCAGAAGAGGCATGGCCAAAAAGAAAACTGTTTCCGGAAAGTTTTCGGTGGAAACTTGGGCTGGGCACGTTCGTCGGCGAGGAACGCTCCATCACACGCTCCAACTAGCTTTGGCTTAACTAATCGCAAACTAAACGACCTCTAATAGCATCCGGAACTTCTGTCAACAATGCAGACTCCCTCTGCCACTCCCATTTTTCGTGCCCGCCCTCCTCCATTTCCACACATGCCGAAACGAAACGAAACGAAGAGCCAAGTGAGCTACGAGTCAAAACTTTTCCAGAGCTATGCCGCCCGGCTCATTTCCGCAGCAAAGAGACGTAGAATTTGGGGAGGGGAACTTTGCCGCTTATCCGCATGGAACAAAAAGCTTTCGGTATAAGATTAAAAACTTTTTAATAAGAAGACACTAAAAGCATCAAAGGAAATTTGCTTCTGCACACACATATGTGCAGTCAAAGTGGCCAACAAAAAAGGAAGAGTTTGAGCCAAAAAACCAGATGATAGATGGATGATAAAGTTGTGCAGGCCCCCAAACACTCTGCAACAAAAGGCCACGAGATGGTAAAGTTGAAGAGTTGCTAACAAAAAAAATTATATATATATAGGAAAAAAAATGCAATAAAAGTTGCAACGACGACGGGTATTAGCTGACACCAGCGCAGGGCCAACAATGTTCAATAATGTATTAGCATGGGGGCCAGAAGGCGTTGCAGCCACAATGCAAATGCAACCGACCTCTAGGAGTGGAGGCATATGTAAAACCCTCTTTTGAAGCGGCTTATCAGAACGCTGTTCGACTTTGTTGGTAAAGAAAAAAAAATGAAAATGGGTAAAAGATGGAAAAAATAAGGCAAAATGCAGCAGCAGTCAGCCATAAGCTAAAGCCCAGGAATGTGTAACGGCAGCTGCAGCCTTTGCAATATGTGACACATGCAGGAGCCGGGCTGAACTGAACTGAACAGGCGGAGCACCAGCATCCAGTAGACCATAATGCGTAGCCTGGCAAATGCCAACGAGTTGGGTGGGCACAAATGGCTGTTCAGGGGGTTGTTCTCTGCAGCGAAGGACATGCGGTGACGGCAAAAGCCGAAGCTGTAGCCCAGGCCCAAGCCCAAGCCAAAGCCAAAGCCATAGACCTAAACCAAACCAAACCAAACCAAACCCAACCAAACCGAGCCCAGGAAAAGCCAAGCCCTACGCCTCCTTTCGGGGCTCACAAGCAGGGGACGAGATGGATAAGGATGAAAAAACGGGGAAAAACGGGGTGGAAAAGTGGGGAAAACTGAGGAGGCGTGGCTCGGGGCCACTGAGGTTTTCAATAATGCACGTTGTACAGCTCCCATGCCGCGTATTGTATTGCATTTTGTTTATGCATGCGCCCATCAAAGATGGCAAAGATGCTCGGCAAATGGAACTACAGTGAAAAAGGAGAGAGGAGCGCACACTGAGGAAAAAAAGCTGTGTTACAATCCTTCTCCTTCTTAAAGAGTATGTAACATAGTATTTAAAAAGGAGAAAAATCACCAGAGGTTTGATATCACTTTAAAACAATCCTAAAAGTATGCAGTGAAAAATGCATACCAAATTTTAAAAGAAATCCTTGAAACTCCGTGCTCAAAATATTTTGTTGCATACTTTTTGACACCTTTCTAAGCGATTTTAAATCCTTTATCCGTTTCTGTATGTTTCAGTCTTATAATTGTTACGCTAACCAATTCTTCATTATTTAACAAGTTTAGTTTTCCTTAATGCTTCCATATTTATTTTTCTTAGTGCTTGTCGGAATATAGATATGGCTCTTTTTTCTTCTTTACCATGGAAGTTTGACAAATCGATGAGGATGTTCACCGCACTTCATAACCATTCCTCAACACCCACTTTCAGCACCCACTGCCATATTTTATGGGCTTCTTTTATGTTTGCCGCTGTATGCGACAGAAAATCTCGCATAAAGTTGCCTTTATGGAAATATGCAAAACAATAGGTTACGATGTGTGAGGCCTATTGAACTTTGATTGGTTCCCCTTACTATAAAAACAACCTGGTTCTTTGAGTACAACGTAGTTAGATTTTATTTTTAATTTAAACGACACCAAGATGGCAGTATACAAGTTGCAAAGACAATTCACTTAGCCGACACACATACAGATTGTCGAGATAACCAGAGGAAAAACCCCATCTATTGACTACTTGCTTCCGTGAAATCCTTGCTGAGTATGCGGTAAAGTAGATCCGGAAAGCACTTGATATCGTTCTTGGTCAGATGGCCGTTTTCGTACATTTTCGAGAAGATCTGAGGGGGATAAGAGATGGTATTTTAATGTTATGTTTAACATTAAATATATAAATCTCTTCTGAGACTTTAAAACTGGGTTATATATGTATATCCTTTTTTAAGCTTACCAGTTCCCTGAGCCGTGTGTTATTCAATTGATCAGTTCTCTCCTTTCGCCAGCTGAGATGTTCGTCGGCTTCCATTTTGCTGATGGTGCCTGCTGTCCAATGGATGGATTGTTGAATTTTGGATGCAAGCTCTTCCCTGGATTTCTTTTCCAAACTGTGGTTGCTTTCCCGAAGTATTCCCTTTTTGAGAATGGTTTTGCCCTTGGGCCTCATCTTGTTTTTATAGCTGGCCTTGCTCTTAACGCTGCCTTTGCTCTTTGTGCCCGGGGATTCACTTTGACCCATCACCCTGCCGCCCTCGAGTCGTTGTTTTTTGGCGTGCTGCTCCAGGAATTTGGCATCCCTTTGGGCCTCCATTTCGAGCATCCGCTGATGACGAGCCCGCTGGCTAAGGTTGTGCAGCTGCTTGCGGCGATGGGCCTTGGTAATGCTGCTGCTGCGTTTGGGCGAGAACTTGTGTCGCTTTTCCCGCCGGACACTCTGCCAGATACCCAAACGTTCCTTGGCACAGGTGGGCGCCAGTAGCTGCTCCTTCTGCCGCTGAATTTCGCGGGCGATCACAGCTCGATGCTTCTTCGCCTGTGCCTCCGCCTCTTCGCGACGCCGCTTCGACTGCAGGATCACAGGATTCACCTGCAGCTGATCACCTGGCCAACGGACATTTTTGCTCATGCGATGCTGCGCCTGCGCCAAAAGCTGCTGCTGCAGGAACTGATCCTGCAGGCGCTCCCGATGGTGTTTCTGCATCGCCTGCAGGATTCAAAAATTTATATTTATCGGTTAAAAATAAAACAAATACCAACAATCCTGTTGGAAAACGCCAGGTTTAGTCCCAAACGTCACACAACAAAACATTTTGTTTTTCATTTGGGGTTATAATTTGTTGTGCATATGCCAGCCTCTGTACACTGTACGTGTTGCGGCTAAGATCGAGCAGAGATATTTCCTATGCCCGTTTAATGGGTGCCTGCCGAACGCTGGCTTAAGCCAATTTTTAAATATGGTCTACCTAAATGTTTCCTTTTGGAACATCTATGTTGCAAAGTCCAAACAGGGAAATATACCTAAAGATATTATGATATATTTTAGGAAAACCCACCTGGTGATTTAGTTCCTCGCGTCGCCGGCTAGCGACTGTATCTGCAAACATGGGCTGCTTATTCTGCTCGTAGAACTTGCAGTAGTAGTTGACCTTCTCGGAATCTCGTGGGGGCATTATGCGTCGGTAGTTGCCCAGGTGACTCTCCTCCCAGGCAATCTGCTGGGTAAGTGCCCCAATGGAGCAGGCCTGCCGCACATCGTGGCCGCCGACTTCCCGGGTTGGTGACGAATACCCGGGCATTTGAGCAGCAGCCTTCTTGTTGTAGATATTCCTCAGCAATCTGGCCCTATGTTCTGTTCGATCATCCCGTATAATCTGCTCTTTGTCCACCAAAGCTGTGCTCAGCATGTTAAGAGTGTCCCGAATCAGGGGACGCTTTACTTCCATGTCCACCGTCTCATCTGCACTCAAACTAGGCGTGTGATTGACCTCCAGGATGTATGGCTTCAGTTTCCAGTCCACCAGGATGTCGAAACCTAGCAGCTGGAAACTGGCCTGAATCTTATCGTGCTTTGGGAAGCACACATTATAGTTGTGCTTCAGAGTGGGCCAAGCACTGATCAGCGTCTTGATGATCGCATCATCCACACTCGCCCAGAACTCGGCTACATCGTAGTTATGATCCACTAGCCACTTATTGAAGGCACTGAGTTTCCGCTTGGAACCCGCTTCCGGTCCATTGCCCACCATGTACTGGGAGTTCCGGCGATTCAGGCAGTAGTTGGTCAGGTGCATGAACACATTGTGGCTATTTCCCATAGTTGGCGGCACGTACTTTTGGGTGGCAAAGCGGGCCAAGCCTTCATTATACACGAAAATACGCAATGGATCCACCGAGGTGACAAGGGTATAGACCCGCAGGTCAAACTTGTAGCCGTCAATCAGCAGGGGCTATTGGGGGAAATAGGGGAATACATAAAATTATTGTTATTATACAAGTATTGGGGCTTACCCGCTCTATGTAGGTCTGGCAGATGAGCTTTTCCCGCTTGCCCACAGTGCGTAGATCAGTGGTTATCCAAATTCCACGTCCCTGACCCGCCGAATAGGGCTTGAGGATGAAGGTCCTCTTGTGTTTACCGGCATAGATGGCTACATCATAGGCACTAACAAAAAAGAGAGATACCAATTATAAGGCAAATCAAATTAAAAACCCTTCAACCCACTCTGTTGGCATGAGCCAAGTCTTAGGGAAGATGCGATAGTCGCCGGGGAACATCTTGAGCATCCGATTCAGGTTCCTCGACAGCAGATCCTTGCGACATATTTCCACCATGCCTGGGAAATGGTTGATCTGCTGAAACCGCTTCATGTTACGCAACAGATCGTGGTGGGGCGTCGAGTCCGACCATTGGATGTTCCACAACCTGTGCTCGGGCACATGCTGAAAGCCCATGTTCCTGGTCACCTTGCCCACCAATTGGAATCGAGTGTGCTCCACGCAGACGCTTAGCCTCAAACCACGGATACTGGGCACTATGTCGGTGCCGTCCACATGGAATTGCATTGGCGGCTCCTTGATAACGTCATAGCAAATGGCATCCAGTTGGGAGGCGGTATACACTGGCTTATCCCTCGGCTGTTGGGTGCTATCCTGGGTGACCACCATGATGTGGTCCTCGTTTCCGGCGCCGCCGCCTCCACGTCGTCGCCAGGTGGGCTGATTATTTTCCCGAATCGGTCTACGTTTTCCACGCGGCTTATTCGAAAGTACATAAACGCTTTCGCGATTATAGACTCCGCTCGGCTTTTGGCCATTACTATCGCCCTTATCCTGGGGCAGGGATTTCTGGGCATCAAAGAAGCGCGTGTACGGATTAAGCTGGTGCTTTGCAGCCTTTTGAGGTTTCTTGGAAGGCATCGAAAGATAGAAACGGAGAAGGTGGTTTTGATAGTGGTTCCCGGAACTTTCTGCAGTACTCTACTCTTCAATTTGTCATCTAAAAATCCAAATACGAGAGGGTACATTGAATTTTGACAGTAAACTAATTGTAGTGTGTGACAAACAAGGTTGTAAGGTTGCTTATCGGTTGCAACCTTAGTACGCCCACCACCACCACCCACCAAGGTCAAGTGCTCGGTGGTTGACACTTGAGCTGCGAGCCACTCGATTACCAAAGTCAGTGCCGCGGGTAAAACCTGTGCCATGCGGTTAGCCAAAACACCTTGCGACAATCGAAACGAATCAGTGCGCACACCTGGCTGTCGGATTAATTTCCATGTGAGAGGCTCTTGGGGTGGAGCTCATTAACCGCAGTTTAATCAGGCTTTAGGCTCACATGTGGTTATTAGTTCGAGCAGTCAATGTCACAGGGAAAAGTACTGGAAAAAGGTATGAAACAAAGGAGAGAGAAATCATCAACAATAGCACTTACATAGCCACAGATGTAAATGTCGGCCTGTCATACGCTTGGTTAACTTGGGGGCAGAGGGCTAACTGGCAGAAAGCCAAGGGGGCGTGCCGTGATGGGTCACCTACGGTGTGGTAACCCCAACCCACAAACTGCAATCCGTAGAATTACTGCAGAGAGAAAAAATATAAACAAACATTGTTGAAACTTTGCGGCAGGTGTGGATTTTCCAGGAGTTTTTAAGAAACACTTAAGTAACTATAGATATCATTTCAATGTTTACATAAAGCCAAACCATATATTTTCTGAGGTTTAATATTAGAAACCTTCAGAAAATCAGAAAATCATTAATAAATGATTTTTATAGTGGTTACATACCATGATCATATCTTAAATATTGTTATATTTAAAAGCACACTTACGCAAACTAGGGTCTGTTTTGAAATTAGAGTTTAGGTTTCAAAATAAAATGATTGTTTAAACAAAATCAGCTTAAACCCCTTTTTAGAGTTCGGTTAGCAATTGCTCCACCCTTCAATTTAATCAGAGTGTTTTGGTTCAGTTTTATTTTTCTTTTGTTTACAAATTAAGTGACGCAAACAATTGTGTTGCACATGTGTTGTTTGAGTTTCGGCAACGAACCATATAAATTGTCGAGTTTATTTGGTTGAGTAACGCTTTTGGGCCCGGGTTTCAATCTAACTGCCTGCTTTTCGCTCACGGGCTCTTTTTTCCTCTAATTGGCTGTCCAAGTTAGTTTGCTGGGTGCTTTATTTGTTTCTGTTGCGCAGCTAATTATGCGCCCGCTTTGTCGCTAGAGATTGTAAACAGAAAAACAAGTGGGAACTGGAAAGTGTTGGCAACTTTTCTGCATTTCAAATATTAATGATAGTGCACGAACCGCCAACAACCGAAAAGGAATGATAACGATGGGGGCACTTTTTGTTGACAGAACAGGAGCATTGATAAGCTCGAGAGAAATGGGCGGAAAATGGCGATTAATGTTGTTTTCACTTACGGAAAGCGAAAGAGTATAAATAAAACGGGGTTTTTCATAGAAACCTTTTTTTAATTTATTGTTGGGAAAATTGCATCCTCCTTAATTGCCTGCACAAATAATCGTAATAAATTATTGCCCAACAATAAATCTCACTTTTGATTTTTATTTTCTGCATATATAAATTTTATATTATAAAAACATACCAAATATAATGAATTATTACTCCTGATTGAATATTTCACACTTTTATATTTGACTGAGGGAGCGTAACAAGCGTAAATGTTGTTTATTTTTTTCCTCATTTAATTATTAATTGACATCCTTTCGGGCAGCCTCGCCTCGATGTCCTCTGGTTTTTTAATCAAGTGCAGGAAGGACGCGCAGCCGCCACGTGAAATGAGTGTAAAATCAGAGGACGACAAACCGTATTAAAAATTTAAAGGTGTGTGCTCGCACACATTTCATTTGCAGCTGCAAGCGCGGCAAGAATTAAAAAAAAAAATCGTATAAAAAACAGGAGCCCAAGAGCATAATAATAAAAAATTAAGCAAAAGAAAAATAACAAAAACCAAACAAGGAGTTGGGAGTACTGAAAATGGTTCATAAACTCGCCCCGCCAGATGATGATGGTGATGATGGAACCCGAGAGCCGTGGTATAAATTACAATGTGTGAGAATGTTCATATGGGGGCCGCCGTGTATATGTGCACTAGTTTTCACAAATCCCTTTATTTTTATGGAGCCACACACAGTCGCATTTTGACTAAGCGCGCATTAAAAATTAATCTTTTAATTACCGCCTGGTTGGCTGGCGGAATCATCGCCATCTCCCCTACAACAATGAGTTGCGGGCTATTAATTTGGAGTTCAGCGAGTATACATATATACTTTTTTTCGCATTTCCATTGACAACCATGTTGAGTGACACTTTAATTTCCATCTTGACTAGGCAAAAAAGGTTTTCAGAAGTGCAGGGATTTTTGCGTTGAAATAATAACAACATCATACACTGGAAAAACGATGGAAAATGCATATTGAATTTAAAGATTGGAATTACATATTTAAATTAAATACAAACGCGTAATTTTTAATATCCTTCGCTTTGTTTATCATTCATTGCTGTTTTTATGAACTTTAAATATGGAAATATTAAATGTAACAATCATATTTAATTTAAACATATTAAACATTGATTTAACGTCAGAAAATATTATTTATTACATTTGTTCTGACATGATTAAAATATTTTCTAATTAAATCAAGCTGTTTGGGTGTAATTCAAATATGTAATATGAAACTTTAAATTAAATATCCAGATATTTGCTTTGATTATTCCATCATTTTTTCGGTGTAGTCATAATCTTTTCTTTGCTGAAAATGTGAAAAGCCCCCTATTTCTCTCCACTTTTAATCTCCGTCATGCCTTAATTCCCCTTTGCAGTGTTCTTTGTGGAAATCTCGCGCAGCTTATGAAAAAGTTCTGCCGCTCTAAAACACTGTAGCATATTTTCCAGCTTAGCAACTTCTATTGCCCAACTCTGAATTTTAATTGCTTTAATTGACCCCAGGAAATAAGTGCCACAACTTCCCACATAAACCTAATGGCTGAAAGGACACTATGCCCTCGGCTCAAATATCTCTGCCATACACTTGAATTCAATTTACACTTTGTCGCATTAACATTTCTGGGTCTTTTAATGCCTAAACTTTGGCAGGGGACTACAATTTCGTGTTAAAAGCTCTCGCAATGCTAAAGTTTTAAATGCCCGAAATGAACGTTTATTGCCAGAACTAAATCCAGTTTAATGTTACCCAAAAAAACCATGAAAAAACTACATATCTAAACCATGATTTAGTAATTTAAATATGAGAGTCAAAGTGGCGTCCCAAATCACATTTATCATTTTCGCCCTGGGGCTGTTTTGGAATCCCCAGGATTAGATCTAGCAAACGTGATTAACATCGCATAGAGTGTGATACAAATATTTTTCGGTGTCATTTGGAATTCCACGTTTGATTTATATATGCAGGTCATACAAAATGTCTATGCATATAGCCTGCTTTATTTTGTATAACCTACGAATCCCCGTAATTATGCATGAATCGTGAAATCAACTGCATTGGGGGCGTTGCTTTTGGGTTTCGGGAACTAAATATATATATGGAACTATGGAACTGAGAACTGGAAACGCATGAATGAATGCTCCCAACAATGTATGCGCATAAATTTGAACACTTCACCCTGCGAGACGCAATGAAAATGTTGAAATGTTAAAATGCTCGCACGTACTGCAAAAAAGTTATTTGTAATGCAAAACAAAACGAAATCAACAGCAGCGGCAAAAACAAGAACGTGGCCTGTGAAACAACAAACTAAGGAAAAACAAAAAAAAAATATATAAAAAAAATAAACAAATGCAAACAGCAGCAATAAGAACAACTGTGAAAATAGTCGAGAAGTGGTAAGACTTTTTGTTTGGCTGCCTTACTTTTAGTTCAGTTTCAGTTGGCGCATAGAGTGCATAAACAACAGACGCATTTGTAATGAAAATAAAATTTAACGGCACAAAACACCAAGGACATGCCCAAGTGGAAGACGCTACAAAGTATGCAACAGTTTCTGTTTCCGCTTCTCGGCCTAGAGCACTAACGGCATGCGGCACTTGGCCAAAATAGCGATGAAAACTGCGCCAACAGCGGGCAGAAAAAGACATTTTCCTTCGTGTCCAATATTCCTGGGGCACTTCTCAAGGTGCCTTACTGAGAAATAAAAGTTGCAAAAACACGAATGGTTTCTAGGAACCGAAAGCCAACGTTTTTGGAAGCCTTTTTTAATTGGAAATACTATATTTGGAACATAGAAAGTGTTCCAAAGGGGACTGTATACATTTAAAATCAAAAGGTTTATTAAATATAAAATTTTTTTTAGTGATTAAATCGAAAGCCCAACTTTTAGGAAGCCTTTTTTAATTGGTAATACAATGTTAGGAAAATAGAAAAAAATTCCGGGTTTATTAAATATCACATTTTTTTAAGTGATTAAATAGAAAGCCAACTTTTAGGTAGCCTTTTTTAATTGGTAATACAATATTTGGAACATTGAAAGTGTTCCAAAAGGGGACTGGAATACATTAAAAATCAAAAGGCTTACTAAATATCAAATTTATTAGTGATTAAAAATGAAAAACTTGTTTTGTGGATATAAATTAAGCAAAGAAAATATTTTTTTAAAGACAAACGGCTTGAATTATATGAATAACGTTGGTCTGTGACTTAGCCCATGCTCTCATAATGCACCATGATTGAATTTATAACCTCTTGATTCTATCAAAATGGGGATAGTATGTTTATTAAATACTAAAAAAGAAAAATAGAGCTTCATATTTAAGCCTCTGTTTCTCCATGTGTATATGTGTACCTGATTTATGACATGCCGTGCAACAAATTGCTGCAAAGAGAAAAATGGCGACCGAGAAATGTGATACCTCCTGGCCACTTGTCAATGTCATAATTTGCCATAATGTGCGAGGGATGGGCAGGATCAGGGGCAGTCAGATGAGAGATGGAGATGAACTAGCAGCTAGCGAGACGGCAGCCATCAAAAGTTGTATGGATGTCGAAGGCTGATGCCTTTTGGCCCGAGGCCGTGGTCGAAAGGGTCCTTCTGCTGGGACTAAATAACACGATGGCCTGGTGTTTTTCCCAACTCCTGCCATGTCCTTGGCTCTCAACGACGAGCACTGTCAACATTAACACAGCCCCAAGGCATAAAAGGCATATCCAATTGCAAAAAGACGCATGCCGATAACAAAGGCTCGGCAAACATTCAACTAACATTAGAGCCACGCCCCCGCCCCGGCCAACACACACACACACACACAGGGACACGGTGGCACACACAGATACACGAACACATGGACATGTGTGAATCCTGGTTGTCGTATCCTGGTGCTCTCGTTTGCTGTCTATTTTACTTGGTCATTAAATTTGGATTTTGTGCTGTGCACATCGCCAGCGCTTGACTTTGCTGTTAAATGTATATGTCTACCCAAAACCCAAACACACAGAGGCATCCACATCCAACGTCTCTTTAGTGGCCTTTTGTGCGGCTCCCTAACCTCTCACCTCTCGCCCTGGACCCCGATTTGCCTTTAACTTGCCGCCATTGTTGGCCAGGCTCTTTGCATACATACATATATATACATATCTATGGGTATGTATGTATGATGAACATATAGGGAAAAAGGTATGGTTTGGGGCTTGGGGAAAGGTGGAAAATCGGCCCATCGTTCGCTCTGCTTAACATCGGTTTTGCCCTACCCTCGATGTTTTGTTTTGCTTTCGGTTTTGAGTCCTTTGTGGCTGAAGATTTTTCCCACATTGCATAGCAATTGCAACAAGCAAAAAATGGCTCTGAGGGCTTAATGCTACGGATTTAATAGTGGGTTGGGTTTCCACCAGGAAAACGGCTCGTTTAGGCTAAGCTGCAGTGCCAGGAGCACATCCATTGATGGGATTTGTGGCAATTGGAGTTTTGAGTTTGACAATCTGGCAAAAAATCGATATTCTTTATAGTTTTAAAGAAAATAAAAATTGCCTAAACTAAACTAAATTACTATTATCTACACAAATGAACTACCATATCATATTACAATAAATAAAATAGATTTAATGAGTTTAACTCACTTTACTAATTTCTTTTATTTCTTTTTCTTTTTAGGTAAGTGTCCTTAACCCTTCAAGTATTGTTTCGTAAGTCATAGACATAAGAATAAATGTCAAATAAACACGTTGGCACATTTACCTCCTGCTTAGAAAATTGTTTTCAATATTTTCTAGAAACACGAATACCCAAAACATTCATGAACAACATTCAATACATGCATATTAAACCATATAAGCCAGATGAAGATATCAAAAACTCCGACATAAACCTTATTATCCACATTCTCATTGTCATTTTGACCATCAAAGTCAGATTGAGATATCAAAAACTCCGACACACTCCTTATTATCAACTTTCTTATCATCATTGTCATCCTGACCAATAACAAAGAAGTGAAAATGCCCAGGCCAACCCAATAAATCTGTAGAAAACTTGACGAAGGCCCACAAAGAGCTTTTCCACAGGGTCTCGGCAATCACAAAAGTTTTTGAAAACGGCCTCCCCAAAGTTACACCGTAATTTCCACGATAATAATCATAATAAAAATCAAGCAAGCGATAAAGCATAAAACCAAATTACATACAACTCGGTCCTTTTTGAAGGAGCGTGAAGACTTCGGAACCAAACACTTTGGGTTCTACCTTATATTTTCCCGTTGCGTCCGCTTCCAGTTGTGGTATAACATAAAAATAAAAAGTTTTTTTCTCAAGCCGAAAACTTGCACATTGTCAAAAAAAAACCTTAAGAAATTCGGCCACTAAAATATATGTGTGTATATATAGATATATATAGATGATACATCGACTTGGTCAGGGCTGCCAGACATTTTATGGAGCACGTAACGGACATTTTTTTGCGGGTTATTTTCGTTTGAATAGTTTTCCCATAACCCTCTCACATTATGTAATATCGGGCCGACTGCAACCGAATATCAGCACGTATTGGGGTTAAGATAATGCCCTCCCAACGATCTGGGCGGTGGAAAGACTTTTATTTGTGCCGAGCGAAAGAGCTAAATTCATTAAGTTGTCAAATGCAAGTCAACACAATACGAATTTCTGACATGGGCATGACACATCCTCAGCGCCGCAAAAATCGCGAGCAGACGAAGCGAAAGAGTAGAAAATAGGAAGTGGAAAATATGTAGGTGGTGGGGGGGGGGGAAAGGCCCAAGTGGCTCTAGAAAAGCCAAGGAAAATGAAAAATGGGAATGCAAATCTTTGCCATTGTCGTCAGACTTTCTTCTGTCCCCCATTTCGGCAATTTTAAATGCCAGGAAAAGCAGCCACATTAAACATTAGTTTAAGTTCATACAAAACTTTTACTCTATGATATGTCGTTTGCAAGATGCTCGCGGAATACAATAGCCCTGGACATTCTTAGTTAGCAACCAACCCTTTTTACAGGCGCATCCACGTTCACATTTCTTCGCGATACATTTGCGAGTATAATAGTAATTCGAGCACATTTTGGGGCAAGGTGGCTTGCATTTAACCATTACCCTGTGATGGTGACAAGCTGGGGGTATAAACCATAATTTAGATAGAAATTTGGAATAATAAGTATACTTACATACACTCAATAAGTGGTATTTCAGCATGTGTAGAATATAATATCCACATTATAACTAAGGAGAACAGACTGAAGTACATCTTTTACGTTTCATTCATGGGATCAACTGATTTATAGAACGTGCCTAGTGAACTATGGTGTGGAAAATCAATTCTGTTCCAGTTGATTAGTTGCAATCCAATGATTTTCTACATTTAAAATTAATTAAACAGTTTGTTGGCCAAACAAGCAGCCACCTCAGCGATAAATTAATGACACTTTAAAGCCCGCCCACGTCACCACTAAGCCTCTTACTTCGGGAAAATTAACTGGAAAAATCCGTTGCTGATGGAGAAAGTGCCGCAAAGGGCCGGCTTAAAATCCCGCTGCCCGCAACAAATGAAAAATTCAGAGGACCGTGGATGCGGCAGCCTATGGGTAAACATTTTAATTCTACTAATTGAAGCAGTGAAATCTATTGGCCGGACCAAATCAAATGGATATCCAAAACTAATAAACGGTTTAACAGGGCGTATGCGCGGTTTGCCATGTTGATTTTGCATAATACACATTTTTTTCTTTCTTGATTATTTGCAGTGTAATTAACTGTCCAGCTGGCGCATAATTACAATTTTGAAATTGTATGCCCTGAATATGTGGCATATGTGCGGAAGAAAGGTGCATTGTGTGTGCCGAATGCGATGGCTCACATATCAGCCGTGGTTTTTTGGCCAGAGAAGGAAGGGAGGGAGTGAGGTGGTGGTCATCTGATATGGTGGATGGCCTAGACAATGGATAATAGATGCTGGTCATCGTTTGTTGGCTCAGTCCGGCTGGCATTATGCGTTATTCTGCGGCCAACGATCATCATCATCGGGCATCCAGGCGCTATTTGCGGTTTTAATTATGTCCAGCTCGTGGAACGCAGCAACGCGGCGAAAAACAATGCGAAATGTGGAGGTGGTGCTGGGGGCTTAAATGGAATATGGGGACGAGGCAGTTGCATTGTTGCAGCGATTGAAATAAATGATGCGAGATGGGACTACTGAATATGCAGGACCAAAGAATGGGCCCTAATTCGGGACAACAGTTTCGGGAGGGTCGTAAGAAAATCAATATGCAAAGCGTCCAAGGGCATGGGAATGGGCCATGATTAATGGATAATGTGCCGCCGGAGAGCAGTGCATATGGCGTGCATATATGGAAAACGTTTCGCTGATTGATAAACCAAATGCCAAGCAGAGCGAATAAATCGTTGCATCAGAATGGATGGCACATACACTATATACTATTTGTATATACAATGTAAAATCAGCCACGATCCGAAACGCCCTTTGTGCTCCCCCAAAAAAGCTCCGTTGATGGCACGGCATTCCATCAACGTTGAGGGCTTAAAGTGTCACCCTCACCTCAGCTGAACTCAACTCAACCAACTAACAAAACCCAAAAGGCATGCTACCTCGTGCAAACTTAATGCTAATGCTAAGCCGGGTTTCTGAAAAATTAATGCCTACTAATAATTCAAGGGGGCCGCAAGGGTCCTTACGATGTATACCTAAGCATGCTTAAATAATCTAACGCACAATTAATTGAAGGTGCCATAAATATTGCGTATACGCAACGTAAATCAGCCAAGATGGCAGCCAGGCGGCAATAAAACCCCTTTTGGGCAAATTCCTGATTATGCAAACAATTAATCCTGGAAGCGTTTATTGCAGGGCTTATTTCCTGTGAGGAAAGACAGAGAGTCTGAATGGTTAAACCCAGCTCATCTGACCAGGATGAACTAGCAAATTTGGTCTACGTATGTCTTCATTAGGCTTGATTGTCGACTGTGCCTGGGAAAAGCCTTTGTTTTAATCAATTTGGCAGTGACTTGCTTGCAGCCGGAAGCGTGCCATTCAGCAATCACATTAGCCAGGATTCCTTGCTGTTGCTGGCCGGAAATGGAGGCCAAAAGGCAGGAGGCAAAACGTCAGTTGGCCGGTCAACTGGCAAGACCGCAGCATTAAAGCAACATTTGTTTTAACATCTCGGCAAGGAGAGAAAGAAAAAAAAAACACCAACCTCCACCGCAAAAGGCGAAGGAAGCTGGACTGTCAGCTGCTTGCAGAATGCTGCCGAAAATTTCAAACAATGCAACACAAATTGCCGGCAACCGCAGCAGCAAGCGCGGTTTCGAGGTGCTGGCCCAGAGTTCCGAGTTACCAGTAACCAGTTACCAGTAACCAGTTACCAGTTACCAGTTTCTAGTTCCGAGTTTCCTTTGTCCAAAGGAAGGACGTCCTGTGAAGGAGTGGCCCTTCGACCGCAGTTCACAATAGTTGACCAGTGCAATATTTTGACTTGGTCAGCGGGAAAAGCCCCCGAGCAACTCAAAGGAAATAAAAAAGAGCAGCCTTCATCGAAGACTAAGTTGAGGCAGTTTGTTTTGCCAGCGAACAAAAAGGCTAAAAATAATTATGGTATAAAAAAGCAAATCATTTTTCAACTTCTTAAATTTTTCAAGAGGACTAAGAGCTTAAGAAATATATAAAAACTAAATAAAAATGAATTTTGTCACCTTTAGAGAAGCAATTTAAATGTTCAATCCAATTTCTCGAAAAAAGAGCAGCCTTCATCGAAGACTAAGTTAAGGCAGTTTTATTAGCCAGCGAACAAAAAGGCTACAAATAATTATGGTATAAAGCAAGTAAACCATTTTTCAACTTCTTAAATTTTTCAAGAGGACTAAAAGCTTTAGAAATATAAAAGAATTAAATAACAATGAATTTTGTCACCTTTGGAGAAGCAATTTAAATGTTCAATCCAATTTCTCGAAACGTTTGCCATCCACAATAAATTGCATTCATTTTAGCCTAAATCTCTTTTATATTTTAGACGCAGAAGGCCGAAAAGTGTTCTTGGTTTTTCTATATTCTCCGACGTATTCAACGTTGGCCAAGCAACCCCAAAATTCTTTACCCATTCTTTTTTTCGAATTTGTGGCTTTATTGCAATCAGTATTTGGAATCCCATTTACCGCCGCATTTCTCCTGGCCAGGCGAGTAATCAGTTTTAGCCATGACTGTAAGGCCCACGGAGATAGACAACCCAAAAAGCCAACAACATCACAAACGATTTCAACCATTCCGCCTCTCCATGTACAAAAGTCTAGGTGGTAGTAGTAGTCGGTTTTAAATGCTTGAGCATTGTATAAAATTTGCATAAATTTCTTGCATAGTTTATTTAGCGTTTGGCCATGCTCGCTCTTGGTTTTGTTGGCCATTTTGCCATTTTTCGCAACGCACACACAGGCCAAATGATGCACACGCCCCAAAATGTGTGCTATACATGCACATAAAGCGGCCAGGATGACAGTGGAGCTACCACCTCCTCCTTCTCAGCCAACTCCACCCACATTTTGGCCTGGCCATATTATAACTCAATTTCTGCGTGAGGCTTTTTCCGACCGCAGCGCGCGGCAATAAAAACAAAAACAAGGCGCTGATGGTGATGCAGCATTTATATTCATATATGCGGCGTGGAAATGAATCGTGGACCTGGCAGCTCTCACCGCAGGATGTCCATTGGTACAATCTCAGGGGGGGGCGGGAGAAAAAATAGGAGTCTGTGAGGCATGTGAACCAATTCAATCGCCGCCCTTTAATTTTCCCCAGATTTATTCCTTGCCATGGAAATTTGCATGCTTTTTACGCACATTAGCATAAGCACACAAAGGAAGTTTTGAAGAAGTAGGGATTGGGGGTAGTTGGCAAATAAGGGGATCTGCCGATTCGAAATCGGCTTTCGTTTGCAGGAATCCAATATGTCAAATTTGAAGCACGCTTCACAACAATTTTTTGAATTTTTTTCCGCAGCTGTCAAATGTCAAGTGTCAAGGCAATTTCATTCGCCAAGGAGAGATCTCTTTCGGGCAAGTCGAGTTCTGACATGCACACATTCGTCATCGATGGATGCCCTTCTCATTTGTCCAAGTCGCGTTGTTCGACATGTTTGCTTAGCCAACGGACCTCGAACCCATCCAACCATCCAACTTTCCTGCACCGCCCCTTTTCATCCTGACATGTTTCAATAACTAACTGTCCATATTGGTTCATTCAATTAATGTCAATAGGGTTCTGCATTTATGCACGAGCAATCGTGTCCATTATTTATCCTTGAGCCAGTTGGCTAGTTGAATGGCGCAGCTCTGGGTCCTGCTAATTGCACCAAATGCAACTAATACCCAATGGCTAATGAGACGAGCTGTAATTATTACCCTTTGGCCCACTTGGATTGAAAATGGCAATTCAACTTGACGACGGATCGATGGCTAAATCAGTTTGCAACATGCTTGTGCAGGCCAGAGCTTGTGGGGGATTGAAAACAAAGTACCCATTAATTGAATACAGTGTGTTTAAGGACGTGTGTTATTGATATTGTCTTGACGACTGATAATCGTGTTTCATTGAGAGTAGTTAGTTCTGGATGTTTAATGATATTTCGTGAATTGTTTAAGAGGTTTTCAAGAAGTTAAGTCGATCTTAACATAGTCAGAATTTTCCAGAATTTTAATTGATAAGCAATTATCTAAATAAGAGTCTAGTTATGAATCAATATATTACATTTGTTTGTTACGAAGAACCTTTAAGATGTCTTACCTAAGAACAAATGCTTAATTTTCTTAATGTGTTAAGTATACACGCTTTAAGATGTGATCCCCATACATTATTACTTCCATTGAAATAAACCATTATCCCTCCGGCTGCTTGAAATTCAAATGGGAACCTCGGGATCCGCGTAATTCCGCTTGCATATCCATTGAGAATTCTCTTCCGTTTGCCTTGCACCCGCATGTTTCATTAGCCCATCCGTCTTTCCTTTTTGTAATTTGTGGGCTTTCAGCAATTAAAGGCGAATTGTAATGCCGTATATACATAAAGTAGAGCCTCAGGCACATTCATTACACCTTTACGCTGGCGGAAAGCCCGGGTTAAGTTCGCCCTCGGCCCTCTTCTTGGTTGCTGAAAATTGTTGCATACTTCTGCGGCTTTTTGCCACTTGATGCCGCCGTTGAAAGCAGAAGGCGCAAGGAAGGAGGCAGCGTCTGCCACTTTAGCGCGCCCACTCAGCCACGCCCCCCGTC